GGGTTTTTTTATAATTTCAACATCCATTTTGGGTGTTTTAGTGAAACTCCCTTTATTATATGCATGTTTGATGCATTAAGTTATTTTAAAAACATTGTGGGCAGTCCTGTTAGAATCATTTGAAGGCCGGAGGCCATTTATGTAAATTGCATGAGATTATATTGTGCGTGCTGCCGGTTGGGTTATAAAATGTGTTTTATGCAGGTGGAAATTTTGGGGAAATGTTCAATTTACAGGGGGGACTCTGCCGAAATTTCGGCAGGAAGTCTCGTGCCCTTAATCCTCTCTGGTAAACGAGGACATAGATTTAAGGAGTGAACTCGGCATGGGGGTGATGCCGGGGTCTCCGCAGGGTTCGTCTCGGGTTCTGGGAAATTCGGGGCGGGTCCTGTCATACCATGAACAACAGGATGAAGAAAGAAATTTTCATCTCTGAGGAAATACTCAACTTTTCGCTGCACCTTGAACATCTAATCATACTCCCAATCAGTTTTTTTTATACATCTTTTTGAAAGCCGCAGAATTGGTCTAAACCTTGTCCTCCTAATAATGACTTTTCTTTTTCCACTGGCAACATTATTCCACAAGTTAAGACAAATAAAATCTCATTTCCGTGTTGACAAATCAACTCTACCCTGTGGAAAATGAAGTTAACAATACATTAAAAAAAATTCCATGTTGACAAATAAATTCCTGCCCACAAAATTTCTTTATCTTGAATAATATAGAAAAATCTGAATAATGGAGAATCGGAAATGAGTGAGTGTTTCTATCAGGGTTTGGTATTTCATCCACATGCAATTTTACATACTTTCTGTCACAGTTTTCAAATAATCATGTACCAAACTATTTAAGCATCACCACATTCTCTGCAATAGCTGAACTTCAGCAATAATAAATTTTGAATTTTTGAGAAAAGGAAAAGAAGAAGAAAAGAAAATGAATAGATAGCCAAAAATATGAGAACTTTCTCCCAGCAGTACGTAATGATTGACTGTGGACAGGAAAAAGTGCTGGTGTTCAGATCTTTTGCAGGTACCTCAAAAAAAAAAAAAAAAAAAAAAAAAAAAAAAGGAAAAAAAAAAAAAAAAAAAAAAAACTTGGTGTTACAGGGGAGTTGGGGCAAAATTTAAGCAACTCTAGTCCTTGGTCTATTTTCACCTGTGCCTGCATTTGTTGCACTCTGTCATGTATATACTTTTGACAGAACAGAAACTCGAGCCATAATTGAACAAATGTTTGGAAAATAACAGAGCTCTCAAGCCCACAAGGTACTCTTATTACCAATAAGAACACAAGTTGGGACAAGGTACCTTATTACTCTCATCATAGCCAAAGGAATTGAGGCACGGATGTGACCAACGAACCTTTATTTTTTATATCAAACCTCATAATGTTTTGTTGAAAGACAACTTCTACAAATTAAAATTTAAAAAAATTCTGATTCGAGGATCAAACTGCAGTTTCCATGACAACTGCTAGTCTGCCAGGGTGGCACCATTGTTTACATTCCACCTTATGTGTTTTCCATGAACTTGGGTAACGTATCGTACAAGTTAGATATTCACAGTTTTGGAATGCTGTTACTTGAAATGGTTGGAGGCAGGAAAAACGTTCTCGTCACAGAGGAGAATACCATCCATGTTTGACTTCACAAAATGGATCAAGGAACAGGGGGAAGACAAATGCACTCGTGATCAAGGAAATGGTGATCAAATTGCTAAGAAACTTCTTGTCGTTACGGTTTGGGGCATCTGGTGGTGCCCAGTAGATCGTCTTTCCATGAAAGCTGTCCTTCAAGCCTTGAAAGGAAGCGGAATTTAACCACGCCTTCTAATCCCTTTTACCTCTAGCGCTTCAACCGGAAATAATGTAACTAGGGTTGCTTTGGTGTTGTAACAAGTATCAAATCAAATCAAATAATGTTACTAAATGAAATTGACCCATACTAGTACTGTTCCAATTGTGTCCCTATTTACAATCACAAATAATGAAAAGCCAAACATATTAGGGGTACCACAGTAATTATAAATTAGTTTTTCAAAAAATAGAAATAAAATAAATTCACCAATGTTTTCTCTCACTACTTTTTCATCTTTCTTCTCTTATTTCTCCAGTAATATTTGTGCATGTGTAGGATTGCTAGTAAACAGAATGAAAATGATGACGTTTCAAACAGATTCTTGAGTTTTGGTAAAAAGATGACAGTTACACTCATTCTCGGTCTCACTACTTGTGAAGTGTTGAGGATTATTAAATAAAAAACAAGACTAAGAACTGGAATTATAACAAAATAACGGCCATTCTTAAGTCACTTTGTTCACTTGTTACCAAGTTTTCTGCACATCTAGTACTTGTATGTCCTAACTTCATAGCTTAAAAGTTCGGAGTCCGTAGACGGGGAAAGTCAAATGATATCAGGAAGGCCTGAACAATTCCAGCAAGTTACATGTCGAGAGAATGGGGAGATATTGGGACAAAGATTAGGGAATAGAATTATAACACATTGCATTCAAATTGGAAAAATAAGTACACAACAATACCGAGTGATTAGGGTTGGTATTAATTAGGACACAAGATAAATACTACAACGGAAGCATGTATACACCCAAATTTGTAGAAGATTGGCATGCTACAGACTCATATATTAACAGTGGTGTAGCTCCATCTGATTCAGACTTTACCTTCATTATTCTTGCACTTAAACTTTAAACTTATCTTCTTTGCTTCCCCCACCTTCAGAAGCATGTTACACTTTCCATTATCTTCGATCACCTGCTCTCACAGTTTAAACACATAGAAATAAGTATGAATTACCAATCGTTTCTAATATAGACCAATCATATCCAAAGGTTAAAAATATGACAAGTTAGACCATAAATTTTTAAATGGTTTTGTTACTATACTCACCTATTCCTATCCTTCTCTCTGAACAGGGAGAAGATGAACAGTCTCCTTCCTATCCTACCCAACTATGAAAAGAAGAAAAATGCATAACAAATTTTTTTCTTTATCATCTTCACACACTACTAAAAAGAACCTAACAAGTGTGGCTCCAAATTGTGTAAGTGGGAAACACTCAAGAAAGAAAACAAGTATATTCAATCACTTATGGTTGCATCCCAAGAAGAAAAGGAGCCACTCAAGGAACTGAAGGATACTCCTAGACATTAGCAATATGAGTTCATAACTACCATTACCTTGTTGATTTCTTTATCATCCTTTTACTAAACAAAAAATTATGTTTTCCATTGAGAATATAACTTCAATGATTACTTTTTTTAGAGCAGTTGGATTACCCAGGAAAGATCAAGAGCACCAAACAAGTAGAGATGCCGAGACTCTACCAGACTGAACGATGTTCTTGCAAAGCTTGGCTAAAAGGACTTAATGTACTTCATTTGAGCTTGATTTAACAATTTTTAAGACCAAATTTATTTGCAAAGCTCAATGGCGTGGTAAGAACAATTCTGAAAACACACATGAATCATCTATTTTCTTCCAAGGAGTGGAAGAGAAAAATGAAAGGAAACAGGCCTGTTCTTCTGATAGAGGAGTGAGGAAAAAGGACATGAAATGAAGGCTAAAAAACAACCTAGAATTTCATAAACTGGCATGCATATTTTTAATCTTTGGGTTCTCTTTCATTAGAAAACAAGGAAGCAGGAAAACAAAAGCCAAGGAGAGGATCCAAGTCGTCTAAAATGAGTGAATTTTTTGTGTAAATTGCTTACAATTGAATTTCCAAAATCTTAAACTCTTACTCAGTTAAGAAATTTACATTAACAAGAAATGCAAATCTACAATTTTATACACTTCCATACATATTGACACAAAAATACAAGATACAGATCAACACAACCAAATCCTACTCCAATACCCAATTCTCCAAACAAATGACCAGGTAATTAGAAAAAAGCAGTAAATAAATAAAAAACCAGATGAAAGCCCACAAACCTCTCAAGACAAACTAAGAGTCAGCAACAGGCTTGAACTCCTGCACTTCCTTGAAGTTGGCCCAGGGCTTCACCCAGACCTTGGCTTCAAAGAGCTTCTTCTTCCCCGCGTCGCTGACCTCAATCGTCAGATAGTGCAGAGTGCCCGAAACCACCTGCACCTTCTCATTCACCACCCTCACAAACTCAAGCAGAGCATTCTGCACAATTAATTATTCAATAAATCAATTAACCAAAAACCCACCCACAATCTTTGCTTCACACAAATAGAAAAGGGCTTTTTGTTTACCTCTTTCTTGTTGTATTCTTCGACGGCGAAACGAGCCAGGCTTTCGGTTTCGACGCTGTTCTCGGAACCTTGAGATTCGCGTACTGTGCCAACTGCTGCCATTTTTGGGTGAGATTTGGTTTTTGCGAGCGGAGGCTTTTGAAGATTTGAGGTAGAGAGTTGTATGGCTATTAATACACACAGGAGGAAGGAAGATGAAAATTTCGATTTCAATTCTGTTGACTCTTCGACATGCTGTGTGCACGGAAACTTCGGTATTTCGCCCATGGATTTGGGACACGTGTACGATTCTCCTTGCTTAGTCTGTAAGAATTTTTTTTTTCTTTGAATTTTATATTTTATACGAAATAGCTTCTTGTTTTTTTCGGTCGAAAATACGAAATAGCTTAGTCCGTAAAGTTTTGGGAAGACTTTTTTGTTGTAGCAAAATTGCGAGAATAGCGCAGCATATAGTTTAGGTGGGATTTCGATAACGTACCCCTAGTTTTATTTAAAATACTTGCCTCTTTCGTGGAAATAAAAACTCCTACTTTCCTGTTGTGATATTTTTTTTTTTGGGTACTTTTTATAAATTATTTTTACATAATATTTGTAAATCTGTGACTTAGAGGAGATAGGAATGCCCCCTTCCTTGGGCAAGGAGCAAAGCAGTTTCCTAGTCCAATTTTGTCAATTCAACAGGAGACTTATGTCATGAAAAGCACCACTACGCTCTTTCTACCCAACAAAAGCCCTAGAACCCCAAATTTGATCCCATCAGCACACAGACAGCCATGGCTTGTCACAGAGATGAAGATGACTACGAACCAGACCAAGCTCTAGATGGGGATGAAGAAGAGGAACATGAGGAGGAGCAGGGAGGACAAAGATCCAGACAGAAGCGGAGGAGATCGGATTTCATAGACGACGATGAGGCTTATGATGGTGGTGTGAGTCGTAAGCGGAGGAATAAGAGGCCTATTGGGTCAAAGTTTCTTGATATCGAGGCTGAGGTCGATAACGATAAGGAGGAGGAAGAGGAAGATGAGGGCGAGGACGACTTCATTGTTGATACTGGAACTGATCTCCCTGAAGAAGAACATGATGATAGAAGGATGCATCGTCATCGTCCATTGCAGCCGCAAGAAGATGAGCAAGAAGAAGATGTTGAAGCGCTTGAGAGAAGAATTCAAGCGCGGTATGCAAGGTCATCATCGAGTCATGCAGAATACGACGAGGAGGAGACAACTGATGTGATGGTGAATCAGCAAGCTCTTTTACCTTGTGTTAGGGACCCGAAGTTGTGGATGGTGAAATGCGCGATCGGTCCTGAGCGAGAGGCAGTTGTTTGCTTAATGCAAAAGTATATTGATAAACCTAAACTGAACATCAAGTCTGCTGTTGCCCTAGACCACCTCAAAAACTTTATATACATTGAAGCCGACAACGAAGCCCATGTGAGGGAGGCTTGCAAAGGTCTGCGCAATATACTTGCCCTACATAAGTTAAACCGTGTTCCGATCGGAGAAATGACTGACGTTCTTTCAGTTGAAAGCAAGGCAATTGATGTTTCTAGGGGCACATGGGTCAGAATGAAGATGGGAACATATAAAGGAGACCTTGCCAAGGTTGTGGGTGTCGATGATGTGCGGCAGAGAGTCAGGGTAAAATTAACTCCAAGGATAGATTTACAAGCTATTGCAAATAAACTGGAGGGCAGACAAGTTGTGAAAAAGAAGGCATTTGTTCCTCCTCCACGCTTTATGAAGGGGGATGAAGTAAGACAACTGCATATTCATGTAGAGCGTAGACGAGATCCGGTGACTGGTGATTACTTTGAGAGTATTGATGCCATGCTGTTTAAAGATGGTTTCCTGTACAAGGCAGTGTCGATGAAATCAATTAGCTCTCAAAACATACGTCCCACTTTGGATGAACTTGAAAAATTCCGGAAACCCGAGGAGAACGGTGCCCGTTTGTCAACTTTATTTTCAAACAGAAAGAAGGGACCCTTTATGAAGGGTGATACAGTTATTGTTATCAAGGGAGATCTTAAAAATTTGAAAGGACGGGTTGAGAAAGTTGAGGAAGAGATTGTTCATATCAGGCCCGAAATGAAACAACTTCCAAAAACTCTTGCCTTAAACGAAAAAGAACTTTGCAAATACTTTGAACCCGGGAATCATGTGAAAGTTGTATCTGGTACTCTGGAAGGTGCAACTGGTATGGTTGTTAAGGTTGAGCAGCATGTGCTCATCATTTTATCTGATATAACCAAGGAACATATCCCTGTGTTTGCTGATGATGTTGTGGAGAGTTCTGAGGTGACATCTGCTAGTTGCTGTTCTGATGCAGGAGCATCTACAAGGCTCTCCAAGAGTACTTGGGCCCGTTAGTCTATTCTTTTACTAGGTTTTCTTTGAATTTCCTGTTCTGGTTTAATTTTCCAGAGAGTTGATTAGCATCCAACCTTAAGTCACTTAGGTTTACTAGTTGACAAGGTTCAGATGGCATGTATCCTTGCAATACTTGTAGTCTTTTTTCTCAATTTTATTCAGAAATTACCGATTATAGAATTTTCTTTTCGATTTCTTTGCTCTAGAACTCAATTATCTTCGTTCCAACTTTTATTCTATTGCTTTATCCTTCTATTCTCCGTATAGAAGTATAGTGGGAGCCGTATGTCTCAAAAGTAATATATAAAAAATTTATGTTAAAAATAATAATTTTTATAAACAATAAAAAGGATTTTTAACCGCAATTCCAACTAATTTTTTAGTTTCTGTCTTCGTCCAACTCTCATACTGACATTGACAACAGTAGGCGGAAGCTGCGGTTGTAGCTAGGAACATGGCTTGGCTGTGGGTTCTGACGAAAAAAACCAAAAAAAATCTAGTGTCGAAATGGTCGACAGCAGTCGAAAGGTTACCTAGGCAAGGGAGTAAGAATCCCTCCGCGGTCTGAGGCAGGAATAGGGATAGAGAACTTTGTTATGGTTGGTAGGGACGAGAATGCGATGGGCAAATCGAAGCCATTCCAGGAGTGAGGGGAATTGAAAGAAAAGATAAGTAGCAATAGCATTATTATACATACACATACAGTTCGAAAACACAACCACACACCAAAGTGTTGGCATCAGGTCATAAAAAGTTATACAAACAGCAACCAAAGCAATTGTACACTCAGTTAGTTCCAGAACATTTGCTTTGCTACAAACTTGCTATATCTTAACTAGGAGTGATCTGCCTCCATCTGGTTCAGTTTGAAGGCGCCTTCATTGTTCTTATGCACTTCAACTTTAAACTTCTCTTCTTTGTCTCCCCTCTTCAACTTCAGAAGCATGTTAAACTTGGCATGTTCTTCTATCACCTGCTCTCACACAGACAGTTCAAACATATGCAAATCAGTACAAACCCATTGATCTCAAAACAGAAACAAATGAAGAAAAGAAGAAATTAGAAGATTCCTGTGCACTATACAGAACAATTTGAGTTCAAATGCACATTTAAAAACAACAACATGCATTTCAATCTTCTGAACCATCTAAAGACTACCCCCAATACCAATTCAATTCAATCAAATGTTACCTACCCTCCAATACCCAATTCTCCTTGCCACCCAATTGAAAACAACCAAATTTAACCCACCGAACCCCAATTCTCCAAAATGCATTTTAAATTGATTTTTAACACCCAATTCAGCACAACCAAACACTGCCCCAAAAACCCAATAAGAAGTGAAAGAGCACAAGAAATGGGAAGGGCACAAACCTCAGCCTTAGCGTGAACAACTTCTTGAAGCTCATAAGGAAACAGAGAATTAGACCTTTGCTGGAGGCTCTTAACAGCATGATTTGCAGCATCCTGAACCTGAGGATCGTGTGGCGGCACAGATTGCCACCCGGGACCATGCCCACCTTCCTTAACACCAAGTTCGGAAGGGGTAAACGACGGCGTTTCATTACAGTCACCGGCGTGCTTGAACTCCTGCACTTCCTTAAAACCCATCCATGGCTTCACCCAGACTTTGGCTTCGTAAAGCTTCTTCTTTCCGGCATCGATTGCCTCGATCGTTTCGGTTTCGAGGCTGTTCTGGGAGGCATGGGATTCGTGGACTCCGCCGAGAGTGGCCATGTTTTGGAAATGGGAGGGATTTGATTCTTCTGCGAAGGATGAGAATGCGAGGAAAGGTAAGAGGACGAAGAAGATGAGTTGCATAAACAGACACAAGAAGGAAGAAGAAGAAGAAGATTTCGATTTCAATTTCATCTGCTTTTGTTTTGTGTTTGGGTTTCTGACACTTTTGTAAGACAGATTGGAATTTATCTCTTTCGCTGCTCGGAGTCTTTTTGTATACGTGTCATACACGTGTCGCTTTGAGTATCTTTCTTTCTTAGTCGGTAAGCTTTTCTTTTCCTTTTTCTATTTACTCTTTTCTTTTTCTTTAATTCAAGCGTAGTCTGTAAGCAAACAAAAACAAAAATAAAAACCCAAACCAACTTAGAAAAAAAATACTCTTTTTGTTCAGAACAAAAAAAACTTATGACATGTTCGAGGATGGGGGTAACAATCCCATCCCCGGCCCATCCCTAGTCAGGGATTTTGCAAATTCAGGGATCCCCTTACTCAGCCCCGATTTCCCCCCAAAAACTCCCCCCGTTAGGGCCGGGGACCCTACCCGACGGGTATTATTGCCATCCCTATCCGTCTCCCCATCTCTCGCCTCCCTCTCCCATTTCTATCATTCTCCTTCCACTCTCTCTCTGAGCATGTCTAAACTGTTTTATGGTGTTCATTGAGGATGTCTATTTTTTTTTTTTTAATTAGAAAAAAGAAGGTGGACTCAGTTTGGGTGGGCTAAGGGAATTTGTGTGTGGAAGCTAGGTGTGCCATAGTAGAGAGAGGAGGAAGGGGTAGAGGAAAGAGGAAATGGAGGAAGGGTCTGTGAAGAGAGAAGGGGAATGGATTTCAAGATGGGCAAAGTTGGTTGGAGCTGTCGGTGACACACAAGGATCGGGGAAGGTGATTTATTTATTTTTTTCAATTGTAATTGTTTAAAAGATATACAATTTTTTTTATAATGAACTTTCCATGTTTGAAATACCCTTGAAAATAGAAAGATTAAATACCCTTAAAATATATGGAAAATTGGATAATGTTAAAGTCAGACAACAAATCATGAATTTTGAAAAATTAAAGTGACATTTCTCTTAAATTTTTCTTTAAGGTGACAAATTGAAACTGAGGTATAAGTTCAGCTGACATTTCTACAAATTGAACTGAGGTATGATTAGCATTTGTCTTAAAATTGTTGAGCGTTAGCAAGCAAAACATACATTCACT